TCTACAGCCTATGTAACTATCTAGTTTTCATATGAAATCCAAGGAAACTGCTAGGTTGGTATATATAAGCCTATGGATTTGATCTGAGCATTTTACTTTAATAAACCATATGAATCACTTGTAATTAAACTCAAAATTTAAATGATTAAGAAATTACATTTACCCAGCACTGACTGCAGAGGAATAGTTTTGCATACTTACTTTGGAATAGCTGCTAATAGGCTTACTTTTAGGTAGCTTATTGGTAGAATAATCCTTCCCAATTCAAGTATCTTTCCACTGTGCTCAATGAATTCCTCATATTCTCAGCCAAAACAGCTGGCTAAAAATTATATTAACTGAAATTTAGCATATTTTGGAAGTAAAAAGTTGGGAAGGTCACCACATAAATTCAGATTTGGAAAAAATAATTTACACTGGAGGAGGGAGCAAATGCCAATGACTGCTGCATTCTCTTCAATTGTTTTTATGTGTATCAAGTTTTTGTTCCCATGCAGACAGTTAAAATAATAAAAGACAAAATTCAAACTGATAGATTATATGCATAATCCTTCATGTCGTATCTTATTGATTTTATACCCCATAATAGGGAATACATTTTTAAAAATCTAATAACTCATTGAGGGAGGAATTACAACTTATCAAAATGCCATTGTAATATAAATGACTTAGCTTTCTGTTAACTCATATTATTGAGCCAAATATAAAGGGAAAGAATAGGGCTAAGGAACACCACTAAATCCTCTGCATTAGTCTAGCAGATGCATAGTGAAGTTAGTAAAGAAAGATTTTTTCAGTTGAAGAAATCTGTGTGTCTTTCTGGGCTGTTTTTAGCACAAAAACAAGTAGAAGAACAGAAATTGTCTTTTCATATGCTCTTCTACTCCAGGCATGGAAAATCCAGATACATGATGGTATATTCTCTGTTGTATCCTTATTAGAAATCAAATATAAAAATACAAGCGAGATTATAATTTAGATCAGAAGTACAAATTAATATATTAAGACAAACAAAATGCAAAGATGTACAATATGTAACCTTTGATAACTATGCTAGTTTATGAAGCTGCTCCAATATCATATTGTTGTAGACAAAGGGAATAGATGAACATATTAAAGCAATATTTTTAAATATTTGCTCTTCCTGAATAAATAATATTAAAGATAAGTACAAGCAAAATGAATTAGCAAAAATTACATGACTTAACTTACTAATAATTTTAAGTTGTCACTCTTATCAGACAATTTTGTTTTTAAAACAAAATAAAGAAACTCATTTGTAATATTCTCTATCCAGATATGTCCACATTTTTGCACTGGGAAAAATCTGTTACTTAAAAAAAGAATTATTTCACATTGTGTTCCCTGAAGTCGAACTATATAACTATACTGTATAATTAACATAATCTATATATATAGTTTGGTGTAATGGTTTAAGCATTAGGCTAGAAACCAGGAAACCATGAGTTCTAGTCCCTGTCGGGCACAAAGCCAAGTGGGTAATCTTGGGTCAGTAGCTTTCTCTCGGCCATAGGAAGGAGGCAGTGGCACTCCAAGGTTTTCTGAAAAACCTTGCCAAGTAAACTGCAGAAACTTGTACAGGCAGTCAATGAGAATCAAACATGACTGAATGGACAGGAAATATAATCTATCATCTATCTATCTATCTATCTATCTATCTATCTATCTATCTATCTATCTATCTATCTA